ACTGCGCCACCCAGGCGCCCCCAGAAAGGTTATATTTAAAAGAATCCTGGGGCACCTGGGTGGCTCAGTCGGTTGTGTCCAACTCTTTTTTACTTTTTTAAATATTTATTTATTTTTGACAGAGACAGAGAGAGAGAGAGAGAGAGAGAGAGAGAGAGAGACAACGAATGGGGGAAGGACAGAGGGAGACAGAATCCAAAGCCGATTCCAGGCTCTGAACTGTCAGCACAGAGCCCGACATGGGGCTTGAACCTACCAGCTGCAAGATCACAATCTGAGCAGAAGTTCGCTGCTTAACCAACTGAGGCACCCAGGCGTCCCTGGAGTGTCCCAACTCTTGATTTCACCTCAGGTCATGCTCTCAAGGTTGGTGAGGTCAGGCCCCACATTTGGCTGTGCACTGAGTGCAAAGGCTGCTTGGGAATCTCTCCTCTCTCTGTCCCTCTCCTGCTCATGCGCTCTCTTGAAATAAACATTTAAAAAAAATTAAAAAGAATCTTATCTTCTAGGAATACTAAAATATTTTGGATGAAATAATAAGTTCTTTTGGCCCACCTGTCCCTTAAAAGTATCACTCCCCTTTTCTGCTTCCCTACCCTTACAATCAAACTCCTCCTCCAAATGATCTCTCCCCCTTCTTTCCAGTTCTGTTCCCACCATTCTTTTTTGAACCCGTTCCAATCAGGCTTCCGTCCTCACCACTCCAATATTGTGGCCAACAGTCAATTCTAGCCCATTAGCAATTGACTTGGTTGCTCTTCCCAGTTTACTTTCTTGGTTTCCCCTTATTTCAGTGGCTGCCCTTTCTGTCTCCTTTGCTAGTTTCATTACTGTCTCAATCCCTAAATGCTAGAATGGAATGCGTCGGGGCTCAGTCTTTAGATAACTCTTACAAATTTTTGTCTACACTTCTTGTCTAGATGATCTCATGGCTTTTAAAACTCTCTACATGCTAGGGTCTCCCAAATCCAGCCTAGACTTTTCTTCTCAACTCCAGACCCAAATATCTGCCTTGATATTTTCATATGGTAATAAGCATTTCAAACGTAACGTCTCCCATCCTGAATTTCGCAGCGCTTTCAATTCCCAACCTGCCCGTCCCAGGCTTTGCCATTTCAGTAAATGACAACTCTATTCTTTAAATCGCGCAGTCCAAAAATCTTGGAGTCCCCTAATTCCTTTTGCTTATACCCTGTATCAATCAACTCAAATCCTGGGTGCCACCCTGTCTGATTATATCCAGACACCTCATCAATCTACTGCTTGCACTTTTCCCAAGCCACCATTGTCTCTCATTTGCAGAATTGCAATGGCCTTCTAAATTGTCCCTCTCGCTTCCCTATAATCTATTCTCAAAACTCCCTTACTCCCCAACAGAATATTCTCAAAATTGAAGCTAAAGGGATTCTTTAAAAATATTAGTCATTTTACTTCTCAAAATCTTTCAATGGTTTTCCCTCTCAGTAAAAGCCCAAATTCTTACAATACCCTGTAAATCCCTACACAATTTGGCATCCTGTCACCTTTGACCTCATTTCCTACTTTTCCCCTCCCACACTCTGCTTCTTTCACTCTGACCTCCTTTCTGCTCTTAGAATGTAGTAGACATCTTTCTGTAGGCTCAGAATTTCTGCACTTGCCGTTCTTACTACCTGGAATGTTCTCCCAGATAAAGGACATTTCTTGCTCCCTTCCTCCTTCAGATCAGTGCTTAGAGTTGGTTTCTTTGTGCCTCCCCCCCCCCCCCCCCCCGCCCCGGCCTATTTAAAAAGAAATCTCTTTCCCTTCCTTAGCACTCATTATTTCTCCTTTACTGCTTCATTTTTTCCCCCATAATACTTACCGTACCTGACATAGTTTATATTTTACTTACTACTTTATTTTCTATCTAAGTACAGGGATTCTTTCCCCCTGCTTTGCTAAGTGTTTGGCACATAGTTGGTACCCAGTATTTTTGAGTGTATGAATGCTACTTAAAATGCACTTATATTCTCTGCTTCATTGTTTAACTGGCGCTAGCTTCTTAAGTTTGGGTATGAATCTCTGAGGAAGGTGAGACTGATTGAATAGAAACACTACCCACTCACTCAAGACTATGCTATCTATCTCTGCAAGGGTGATCAAAGCAGAAACGTTCACATTTTAGTTGCAGCCTTGGTACTAAGCAGCCAGGTGGCATAGGGCAAATCGTTTTTCCCTTCTGGCCATTAATTTCCTCAGCTGCCAAATGGATCATTGCTTTGAATGATCCATAGGATTTTTGAGAATGTAAAATGAAAGATGAAATGTTGAGTAGGACATGATAGGTCTTATTAATTTCTCCAGTACATGCAAAGATATACTTACCTGGGATTTTTTTTTTTTTTTTTTAAAGGCCACGAACATACCTGGAGTCAAACCTCTGAGTTCTTTTAGGGACCTTGGATGATGCAGTTTTGCTGTGTTAAGCCCTTACACATACGAGTAATTTGAGCGATAGTTCTTGATGTCACCCTGTTCTTTCTTCTTAACAACTGAATTGTTTTCTTTTATTCCCATGTCCAAATCAGTGAGTAGTCAGTGCCCAAGGGTGCCCAGCTCCCATGGGAATTTTGTTTCCTAATCATTTGTGTGTATGTGTGGTTGGTGAGTCTCTCCACAGCCCATTTGTAACCCAGAGCCTTGATTTTCTCACTGGCAAATGTGGTGAATAACCATCAGGTCATGTTTATTTTGATGGATTCAATGGCATACCAATACTTTACATAAAGTAGGACAATGCCTGGGAGATCTCCATAAATGCTCTGCATAAATAGGGTATGTATTGAGCTTCTACCGCCAGGGTTACTTTCTAAAAGAGTTCTTTTTGATGGCTTTCTCTACTTAGTTTGTAAGTCTTCCCCATCTTACTGAAAGCAGGGTCTCAGAGATATTTGCACACCCACGTTCACAGCAGCATTCTTCGCCACAATCAAAAGATGTTGGTAACCCAAGTATCCATCCTGGTATATACACACAATGGAACAGAATTCAGCCTTAAAAAGGAAGGAAATTCTGACACATGCTACAACATGGAAGCGCCTTGACATTTATGCTGAGTGAAATAAGCCAGTCACAAAGAGACAATTACTGTATGATTCCACTTATATGAGGTATTTGAGGGGTCAAGTTCAGAGACATATGGTAGACTGGTTGGTGGTTGCCAGGACTTGGGGGAGTGGGGATTGAGGAGCTGTTTAAAAGGTACAGAATTCCAGTTTTATAAGATGAAAGGAGGTCTGGAGATGGTTGTACAGCAATGCAATGGTACGTCACTGATCTGCGCAGTTTAAGAGTGGTTAAAACGGTAAATTTTGTTATGTGTATCTTCCCATAATTAAAAGTCAAAAAAAATTCCCCATCCTATTTTTTTTTAAATTTTTTTAACGTTTATTTATTTTTGAGACAGAGAGAGACAGAGCATGAACGGGGGAGGGGCAGAGAGAGAGGGAGACACAGAATCGGAAGCAGGCTCCAGGCTCTGAGCTATCAGCCCAGAGCCTGACGCGGGGCTCGAACTCACCGACCGCGACCTGAGCCGAAGTCGGACGCTTAACCGACTGAGCCCCCCCGGCGCCCCCCCCCCCCCCAATTCTAGTTTTCAAACCTTACTTTCCACTCTTCCCCTGTATCCCCCACTACCGCCTTTCAGTTAGACTGCTGCCTTCATTGTACTCCCAGTAAAACACTCCCTTTTCAGCCTTCGCTCCAAGGAGTTTCCTCTCCGGAATGCTTTCATCAACACCCATCCATTTGGGTGGTGCTTTCGCCCCCAAAGATGCTAGTTCTTCTAGATGCAACCAGGAGTCACATCCTCCAGGTATCCTTACTTACACCTTCAGACCACGGTCCTTCTTCTTTCCCGCACTGCACACAGGAGCGAACACGTGCCTTTGTTTCCGCTTAGTCTCGCCGACCCTTAACATTTAAGCCCCGAGCATCAGGGGCGTTACCTCACCGTTCTCCCGCACCCGTCTTCTAACACAGAACACTCCACCACCGCGGAGCTCGGCATTCAAGAGCTCCCGGTGAAAACTCAACGCACTGGACATCGAGAGGGGAGGGAAGTCAACTCCCACTCCCACGGGGTGATCTCTCTGAGGCAGTGTGTTAATTTCACACACAAGCTCTCAGTGTCAAATTACCTGCGAACATAGGGGGTTCGACGCCGCAAAACTGGGTCCTGCAGGATCCTTAATGGCAGCCCTATCATTTGCACAGCTTTGTACCCTCCGAAACACTTTCTCACGTGTCAGCCGAAAGTCACGCGAGAGGGAGGCCAGAGGCAGCGTTATTTGTTCAGGCGCTCACGTAAAAAAGGGGTTGTGGCTGGCCGTCTCGAGTCTCCGAGGCCTCAACCGGGCCGATTTCGCTTCAAGAACGCCAGAGAACCGTTAAAAAGTTGTGCTTCCGGCTCAAGTGTCCGCGCCCTGTCGAAAAGGGAAGGGGGAACCAACGCAAGCCCGGGTACGGAAAGTCACAGGGCACAATTTCCTTCATTTGAGTCGCCCGACGGTCGGGCGGGACGCGCGTAACCCAGAAGTGAAAGCTCGTTTCCTTCAGGTATTAGACCCCGACGGCAGGAAGTCCCGGCCAGATGACTTTTATCCAGGCTTTCACGACTCCCCCCTCAGCTCTATTCACTACACTCCCTGCTTTGTGGTGCCCTGTCGCCGTGGCCGCTGCGTCCGACCCTCCTGGCCTAGCCTGAGTTTCGCCGCAATTTCGCAGCACCTTCGCCGTCCTTCCCTTAAAGAACCTTTATTCTACGGGTCCCTACCGGGGTCAACTGACGTTCTCGGAGGAGGCGAAAGCTCCTGGGACTTGCAGCTCCAGAAGCCCAGTACAGGCCGGCTGGCGCCTGCGCGGGGCGTTACCATAGAGAGCAGCCGCCTCTCTGGTCTCGGTTTACATTCTCTATGGTCCAGCCGGGTCGGTGGCGGTAAAAGGGAGACTGCACTGCGCAGGCGCTCTCGGCTTCTATTTTTTTTTTTTTTTTTTTTTTTTTTAATCCCCGCACCAAGCGCTTAACCTCATTGGGGTGGAGGAGAAGGCGGCGGCTGTCTGGTCCGCAGCGGCAACAGTAGCGAATAATACGGCTGTAAGTACCCGGTTGGGGAGAGGAGATTTAGATCCAGCCCTCCGAGGCCCTTGCCCCTTCGCCTTGCGGTAGCAGACGCCGGGTCCGGGTGAGGGCGATGTCCAGCGCTGTCATCGGCTCTTGGGTGCACTTTGGGGGGAGGGGGCGGCCCTTAGGTGGGAGCCGGGCGGGGAGCGGGATGGGAGGGTGGGTTGTTTATCCCACCGGTAGGTCGCTGATCCCAGGCTGCTTTGCAGAGGGAGGAGGGGGCGACCGTGGGGTCAGCCCGGCTTTGTGTGCCCCTCTCTCTTTTCCTCTCCCAGACCCCACCCCGGGCCCCCTTCCTGACCCGAGTCTTACCGGCCCGGTGGGAGAAGCCAGCGAACAGCCAGTCGCGTTTGAAAAGAGCCCGGGATTGCGAGGGGAGGGGGCGAGGGAGAGAAACCCATAACAACTAGTCATCGGCGAGTGATGGGTGTGGAGAAAGATCCAGAGGGAAGGGGTGCCGGGGAGGCGGGCGGCCGGGGCTCCCAGCCGGGCTAGACAAAAGCTGAGCGAGCGGCGCCGAGCCGAGCCGGGGACCGGGCGGGACGCAGAGGGTCCCTTGGTCCCTGAGGCCCGCAGAGAGCTTCTTTCCGAAGCTGGGAAAGCGGACAAGTGCTGAGTTAAGCCTTGTGCAGCCTCCTCAACTTGCCTTTGTTGTTCTTTGGTATTGGCAGAGCCGCTCTGACGAAGAGGAGTGCACGTTAGCCTGGTTGGGTACAATGGAGCTAATCGAATTTTGCTTTCCATTTTTCGAGCCGCTCAGATGAATATGGGGTTTTCCAGGGTCTAACTTATTACATAATGTTATTAAAATAGTTGTGTTTATTTCTAGGATTAAAAAAAAAAAACTAGGTAGATCCTGGAAGCATGTTTTGTTGCATCTGGATGAATTTCTCTGTTGCGGGGTTCGATGATTAAATAGTGACCGTTCGTAGAACCTGCGAGCTCTTTAATCGTGATACTTTAATTTGTAGATGTGGCAGTGAGAGATTCGGATTCTCAATTCCTTTGGGAGGCAGTGATGCAGAAGAGTCAGAAGGGAGAAATAGTTGCAGGCTGCCATGTGCCTTGTCCCCTATTCTGGTGCCACAGTCCGGTATAAATTCTAGCTTTAGAGATTGTTGCTTTTATTTCTATTATTATTTGTGACATTTACTGAACTCTTGGTAAGAGGGATCCTGGACAGTGGGCTCCTTTTACTCAAAGGGAGTTGGGAGAATAGTAACATTGATGCAGAGACCTTATAGATAAAAACAAAACCACAATGTCCCAGAGTTACTGAATATTGTGTATCTAATCCATTTGCTAAGAAAGATTTAAATTTTTGTGAGCCGCTGACTTACTCCTTTTTGTAAAATCGTGCAATTGCACCTTTTTTTAAAATTCTGTTTTTGTAATTTATAGTTTATCAGCTAACGTGCAGCACTATTTTTGAATTTTAAGTTTTAATTTTTACCGAAGAGCTTTTAACCCTAGCTTTATATCTTCTAGACTAAAGTAACCAAAGTCAGAAATCCTTTGAAGTGGCAGTTGGTGGTGGAGGTGTCAAATATTGTATCTCCATGTTACAATCTAAGTGGTAAATAGAGAAAAGGCCTTTGCTAACCTTACACCTTAACTTAGTGTTGGAACTGAAAACCTGGATCTCCTTGTAAGTCATGATTTTGGCCACAGTCTCAACCTTATGTAAAAGAAGCAAGCATTTTTTGTGCTAATGGGAAGCAAAAATCTGAAGCTTGGTGTTTATGCTTCAGTAACCACTGTGATAGAATCTCTTAAGTGTAGTTTGGATGATGGGAACTTACTTTTTATAGAGCAAGATTTCAGATCCTTAAAATAGTTTGACAGGGATGTTGAGAAATGGCCAGAAGAACGTTAGGTTTATTGTTCATATGTGTTAGGTTTCGTTCATTGGTTTGGATTTAGATTTTTTTGCTTCAGTAGTCTGTTAACTCTATTTTCTTGAGTGGCTCAGTCTCACAATTTATAAGTTGAGTGAGAGATAGTTTCTTGGATCTGAGACTTAAATTTATCTTTGAGATTCCGTTTCTTCTTAACAATCCTCTATTTGTAAAATCATAGTTCTTAGAGTATACTTTTAATTTAGTACTATTAGCAAATATTATGACCATTTAAGGGATTGTAAATATTAGAGCTGAGTTATTAAACCTGGCAGTTTTAACAACTGCAAGAAAAACAGAATCATCTAAAAGATTTCCTAAAAAATAAGAGAAGGATCTGTTAGTCTTAAAAAAAAACAAAAAACCCAACACAAAACTAAGCAAAGAACAAGTCATTGATGATAGAGTTTTTGGTTTGTAAAATGTAATAGAAGAAAGTAAATGAACCTTTTTTTTTTTTTTTAATGTTTATTTATTACTTTTGAGAGGCAAAGTGAGACAGAGCATGAGCAGGGAAGGGGCAGAGAGAGAGAGAGAGAGAGACAAAGAATCCAAAGCGGGCTTCAGGCTGTGGGCTGTCAGCACAGAGCCCTATGTGGGGCTGGATCCCACAACCTGTGAGATCATGACCTGAGTAGAAGTCGGATGCTCAACCAACTGAGCCACCCAGGCACCCTGTAAATGAATTTTTCTTAACCCAGTGCGATCAGGGCAACATCCATAAAATGTGTGTGTGTTTGACTAAATGACCTCTAAAGGCCTTTTCTTTTTAAGCTCCGGAGTTTACTATTTCTGGTAAGTCTTCATTGCCCCAGGGCTTTCCTGCCTACTCTGTGCTCAGACCATTACTGCCATACTGAATGCTTTTCTTCCCCAGATTGTTGTGGCAGCCCCAATCCACCTCCCCACATGGGTCCCTAAAGTTGTGGCTCAGGTGAGGCCTTTCTTTCATAATGCCTGTGTTGACTTCCCTCTTGTTTCCTGCCTGGAAATCTCCTCACTCCTTGTTGATTCCTGTTTTATCCACTACCTTCCTCTTTGGAAGATTCACGCCTCTGCTTTTAGTCTCCTCTAGATCCTTGAGGGCCCTGGGAGTTTGTAGAACACTGTGGTATCCTCTGTACTTAACTACCAGGGCTTGTGTAACTAGGGACTTGTGTAGCTAGTCATGGTTAATGTATGAAATATGAAAGATAGAATAGTAGAATTTGAGTTTGGGCAGAGTTCTTAGAGGCTCCATTGACCATTCTCCTACCTTTTGTCTACTGTATTCTGGTCCTCAGTCTTACACTGCAAATCTGCTTTTCTGTTCCTGGACAGGTCTTGGTTGCTAGAAAGCTAGTTGAGACCGCTCCAGAATCTGCCCCTTCCCTGTTGCCTGTTTTTCTTGGGCATAACCCTGAAGCAACATGTATTAAGTCTGTTTCTTCTCCCTGTAATACATGTAATAGCTTTTCATTTCCTAGGACAGTCATCAAGCCTTCTCCAGATTTATTGATGAATTAATTTATTAAACCCTTTCTTTAGCTCGGTACACGGGGTACAGTTGAAAAGACTGCGTGGTCCCCACATTTCAAATGCTCACAGTCTAATAAGGGAGACAGACAAAATGTTACACGTTGATGCTGCTTAGGCTGTAAGTAAGTAAATAAATAACCCTGCCCTAGATCCTTTGTCCCCTCCTGTGTTGTTTTTATTTTTTTTTTCTTTCAAGGTTTTATTTTTTTAAAGTATCTCTACACCCAGTATGGGTCTGGAACTCACAACCCCTAGATCAAGAGTCTCATGCTCTATAGACTGAGCCAGCCAGGTGCCCTGTTCTCTCATGGTTTAATCAGATTTCCCCATCTTTCTTTAGGCAATTCTGTTTTGTTAGTGTTCTTTCTTTCTTTCTAAAGTTTATTTATTTATTTTGAGAGAGAAGTGTGAGTGTGAGAAGTGAGCGGGGAGGGACAAGACAGAGAAGGAGAGAGAAAGAGAGAGAATCCCAAGCATTTCTGCCCTGTCAGCGCAGAGCCCAAGGCGGGGTTCCATCTCACAAACCTCCAGATCATGACCTGAGCTGAAATCAAGAGTCCATCGGCTAACCGACTGAGCCACCCGGGCACCCCCATTAGTGTCCTTTAAATGCAGTGTCTGAAATGAAACAACTTGCTGTGACCTGACCAGAGCATACAGCTGTTGTCTTAGGTTAGGAACTGTATCAAGGGTTCAGACTTTGTTGTACATTCTGACTATGCCACTTGCTAGCCCTATGACTTTGGGCCGTGGGCCCATTAAATCATCTCTTCATGTTTTAATGAATTCACCTATAAAACAAATGTGAGGGGAAGGGAAGGCAGTGTTAAAAGTAATATCTACTTACAGGGTTGTAAGGATTAAATGAGATATGTCAAGTGCTGAGAATAGTGATTGGCATATAGTAAGTGGCTATATACATGATATTCCCACTATGTATTTGTGGTAGGAGTTGATAATATTAATGACAAGGCAGCATACATAGCAATAATCAAGTCACCAGAGTCATTTGAGGAGCTTGTTAAAATACAAATGGTCTGACCTTATTTATTCCCCAAAAACCCAGAGATTTTTGGTCAGTTAAGCCTACGAGGCCTGGGTAGACACAGTTCTAACAGTCCCTGGTGAGTCTTTAAAACAAAACCCTAATGAAAACCTTGCGTTTTATGTTAATTTTGTCAGTGATTGCGTTTGCTCTTACAAATTAAAAAAATCCCCCAAGTAATAGATGAGTAGATGCTCCTGACAGATACAAACAATGCAGATAAGGGAAAGGCTTGGCCCCAGACCTCAGGCCCCCTAGGAGGCGTATCCACTTATCAGTGTGAAATGTATCCTAAACAGTGTTGCCTGTTTTGGTAGCTACGTGTATGTGAGTGTCTTCATAATAATAAATAATAGCCAGATTTAAGGGAAAAACCCCTCGATTTTTAAATCACTTTTGCATTCATAATCTTCTTTGCTCCCTTCAGAATCCTGTTAGGTAGACGGGGAAGATAATGTTGCTATCCTCTCAATTTACAAATGAGAAACTAAGACCTGCAGGTTAAATCCCAG